CTGTCCTTCCCTGAATTTCTTTGTTCCCTCCTTCATATGTCTTTCAATTTTGTCTTCCAAGCTTAAAAACAAACAAAAAAGCTTTCTTTGTGTTCTTATTACAAAAAAAATTAATAGTAGAAAATTGGAAAAGTTCCGATAAGCAAAAAGAAAAAATTTACAACATCCATACTACCACTACCAACCTAATTAATAACTGATTATCAAATAATCTTTAACGTTTCTTCTATTCACTGTATTGTGTATGTTTTTTACACATGTATGTGTACATGCACACATCGGTGTTTACAAACACACATACATACAACCAATGTGTATAGTTTATAACAAAGAGAACAAATATGTTTTATCTTCAGTATTGTGTTCGTCTGCTGATATGGTGTTGACAAGAATCCTCAGGCCAAATTCAGGTCCAAAATGAAAGAGTGCTGTCATTGATTAGCAATGTCTGACACGGGTATGGGAGGGAGGAATAGCAGCATGTGTACCACGTATTTTCCATCCCAAATCGATTCTGTTTCTGTAGAGGTAACTGTGGCTGTGATCCCAGGCATCAATGTCTAGTAGTCACAAACTCTGCTCTTTACTTACAGCTGTGAATGGATACACTTTTGGAAGTCTCCCAGGACTCTCAATGTGTGCAGGAGACAGGGTGAAATGGTATCTTTTTGGCATGGGTAATGAAGTTGATGTGCATGCAGCTTTCTTTCACGGGCAAACATTGACTAACAAGAATTACCGTATTGATACAATCAATCTCTTTCCTGCTACGCTTTTTGATGCTTTTATGGTGGCCCAGAACCCTGGAGAATGGATGTTGAGTTGTCAGAATCTAAACCATTTGAAAGGTAAGATATCTTTTCTTGAAATGAGCTGTCAGCCAAAAAATACTGGTTATGGGAATCAAAATCTAAAAGCTAAATATCTTTGGAATGATCTGAGCTTTGAACTGGTACCTCAGTTTTATTATGATGGTATACGTTGTAATGTAATAAAAAAAGACTAAAAGACTGGGACATTTATATAGTAATGAAGTCTGAAAACATATTAATTTTTGGAAAAGAAAAT